TATATACATATATAGGTATATATATATATATAGATATAGATATAGATATATAGGGGCCTAAATAGTTGCCAATACTCTTTTGGGGTTCCTGCCTATGCTTATAGTATGATGGGCCCCAAGACCTTATTCTACTTATTAAGCTTCATTAATCAGGGTTTTGCTGCACTTCAGGTCGAGGGACGGTCTTACTAGAATATGGGTTCTTTTGGAATCTGTTTCGAACACGGAACCCCTAAGGAATCATATGAAAAACCCTATTAAGGCTTCTATATGGGCCGTGCATTGGTTATTAATTTACCCTGAACCCTAAACCCTAACGGCTATTAATGTATAAACCAAGCCTATGGACTTCGGCCAGCCCTGAACACGGGTTGGTTTTCTAAACTGGGCTCCCTTTCTAGGGTTTAGGGCTTAGGGTTTAGGGTCCTTTTGTATAAGTTAAACCCTAAACCCTAAACCCTAATAAGGGATAATAAGGGTGCCGTGCTGTATTGGCGGCCTCAAAAGGGAACCTTGGTGTTGAGAACTGCCCACAGGTTTGTGCGCAATGTCAATCGCCATTACAAGGCTGAGTAGTGCGTCTGTTATGGGTTAGGGTGTAGGACTTGGGGCTTGGGGATATGATGTCGGTGTTCGTGGTCACGTATAATATAGAGGCCTTATTAATTAGAATACGGTTTGGGGTATATTATACTATAAGAAGAAGAAGAAGAAGGGACTCCCGAAACCCTATTCTAATCATTAAGACCCCTGCATTACCTCGGCACCTGTTAGTGTCATGACCGGCTCGGAGCCCAAGGCGTCCCACAACTGGCCACCCGGGCCCTGCCCAGCGTTCGCCGGGGCATCATTTACAGAGGAGCTTAGAGAGTTTGGACACCGGCCTATAGAGATCGAAGCCTGAAGCCGAAACGGTTCCTTAATGTAATCACAGTATGATATACCCCCAAACCCTGTTTAAAATCATTAAGATTATAATCATAGTAGTCATTATTATAATCATAGTATAATATACCCCCAAACCCCATTCAAATTATTAAGGCCCTAATATTTCCTATGGGCCCTAAACGGTCGCCCTAAAGCACGGCGCAGGCGTCCCAAACAAACGGGGAGACGGCCGATGCTTCAGCCGAGCATGCCAGGCCACAGTTGGGCCCTCTATACGACCCTTAGGGTTTTGGAGTCGAGGAGTTGAAGGGTTAGGGTTTAAGTTTAGGGCTTCTGGGCTTGAGGAGTTTCGGGGTTTGGGGATTTAGGGGTTTAGGGGTGGGGTTTAGGTTTAGGGCGGAAGGGCTTGAGATTTGCGGGTAGAGCTGGGGATGAAACCCTAAACCCTATAACCCTAAACCCTAAACCCTAAACCCATGCACACTCGAAGACATGCCTGTTAGCTGCACATGGCCCGCCTTCGGCGGGCGCAGCCAAAAAATGCGTGAATTGGGGGTTCTTACTTCTGGAAAGGCCACAGAAGCTTAAACCCAAAGCTCCCTGGATGGGGTAGCTGTTTCAGTACCTATATGGTCTCCCTTGTAGTTCCTTTTCGGGGGTACCTTATAGGATCAGAAGTATATAACTGGTGGAAAGGCTACAGAAGCTTAAGCCCTAAACTCTTTGACTGGGTAATATAGGGGCCTTCATAGTCAGAACAAGGCGCTTCGGGGTCTATTATACTTTACGTGATTATAACGAGGAAACCAAAACCCTATTGTAGTTATTAAGGGCCCTACATTAACTGTTTGGTTATAACTTAACCGTCTTTCAACCTCCGAAGCCGAGCGGTTTAGGGTTTGCGGCTTTCGTGTTTGGGGTTTCGGGTTTAGCCCTGGGCCTTAAATCAACCTACCCAATGCCGTGAATCCGAAACCGTTCAACCCGAAAAGCCTGTAACTTTTCGATACAACAACTTTGTAAAACCCTGACGAAAGAACCCTCACTACAGAACCCTGTAATAGAACCCAATTGAGCAGAAGACCCCCCAGCCTTTTGTACAAACAGTTTTGGAAGATCTCGGAGGAGCCGCGGCGAGTCGGGGACTCATCCGCCCAGAATCAGAAGCCCAGAGCGTCATAAAATGTATTACATAGGGTTTCAGGGTTCGGTTTAGGGTTTAGGGTTTAGGGTTTAGGGTTTAGGGTTTAGGGTTTAGGTTTTACGGTTTTGGGGTTCAGAGTTTAAGGCTTAGAATTTCAGGGTTTGGGGTTGAGGGATTAGGCTTCAGGACTCCAGGGTTTAGGGTTGTGGGTTTAAGGGTTTTACGGCTGCCGAAGGGTTCAGGTTCCATCACAATGGCCACATAGGCTTACTTCCCCAATAAGCCAGGGAAATAAAAGGTTAAACTTTCAGATTACCACTAAATTCTAAGAACCCAGAGAGTTTAAAGGTTGGGTATTGGGGAACTAGGTCACACTGGCCATAGTTGTTTCCCCGACCCTAGGCCACCATCGGCGGCTCGACCTCCACGAATTTGCTTCCCAGTCGGCTTAAAGGTGGACGGTCCTCCTCCACGAACTTGCTCCCCACTCGGCTGACCTTGTGCTTAGGCTGGCTTACGGTTTAGGGGTTTAGGGCTTTAAAGTGTAGGGGGTTTAGGGGTTTAGCAGCGAGGACGCGAGGGTACACTATGACTGTACTCAACGCCGTACAAGATGTGGTGGGAGACGTGGGGAGGGGGTGGGCAAGAGAGCAATTTAGAGTTTAGGGAGACAAGCCGAAATCACACAATGAGGATAGGAGATCAAACACAATGGTAGGCAAAACTGTAGTTGTGCTGTGTTGCCGTCCCTACACTGCTAACAGCTGCGAAAACTTTCAGCCCCGAAACCCTAGAACCCTAAACTCAATCTGTCATGGCTCTCATAGCCATGATAGAAGATGATAGAAGTCTGAATAGGCAAACCCAAGAGTACATCCTGGCAACCTAAACCCTAAACCCTAAACCCTAAACCCTAAACCCCAACAGAAGCATCTCTCGATGATCCTTTGGCCTTAGGGTTTAGGAGGTTTGGTTTTAGGGTTTCGTGAATTACCGAAAGTGCAGCAGGAAGTTTATACAGAGTTTCAATGTCTTTAGGACCCTTAACCCTAAACCCTAAACCCCTAAACCCTAAACCCTGAACCCTAAACCCCTAAACCCTAAACCCCAAACCCCTAAACCCTCAACCCCTCAACCCTAAACCCCTCTACCCCTAAACCCAAAACCCTAAACCCCTGAACCCTAAACCCCTAAACCCTAAACCCCTCAACCCCTAAACTCTAAACCCTAAACCCCTAAACCCCTAAACCTTCGACCCTACCCTAAAACCCTAAACCCCTAAACCCTAAACCCTAAACCCTAAACCCTAAACCCTAAACCCCTAAACCCTAAACCCTAAACCCCCCTCAACAGCAGGTTCCCCGGCGGGCACACTCCGCGTCAGCGACTTCAGAAGGCCCTCAGCTTTGCTGATCTCGGTCCTCCCGATGGCTGGGGGGGGTCCTTACTATAATTTTAGGGTTTAGGGTTTAGGGTTTAGGGTTTAGGGTTTAGGGGTCCTTTCTATAATGTTAGTATAGTGGGCCCCAAAAACCCAATTCTAACAATAATTACCTTATTATTATTATAAGTATAGTAGAATGGGCCTCCAAAACTCTTTTCAAAACTCTATTCTAATTATTAAGGCCCTACAGCCCTACAACCCTAAACCACAAAGACATTTCGGTCAATACAGTGGCCATGGTGATACTACTCACGACGATGACGGTGCTGATGAACATAATGATCATCTTCGTGATCAGTGATGCTGCAGCTGCTACCTCTACGACCCCTCTCCCTTTGCAAAACGTAGCCACGGTAAATGGGGTGCCGATTCTGTTTGGCCTAAGCTCTACACTTGACCCTACACCCTAAACGCTAAACCCTAAACCATCCTAAATCTCTAAATCTCTCTCTCTCTCTCTCTCCCAGCCGGCCCGGGAAAAAGCTAAACCCTAAACCATCCTAAACCTCTCTCTCTCCCAGTCGTCCCTGGAGAGTCCTTGGGACGCCTGATTCCTTCGCTTGCTGTATGGCCTGCTCCATCCAGTCTGGGTCCTGGCATTAAAAACGCGTTATGGGTTTAGGGCTTGGGGTTCAGGGTCTAATGTAGGGGCCTTAATAATTAGAATAGGGGTTTTGGGGTATATTATACCGTAAACCACAGTAAGGATCCCTCAATATAGTATAGGTGATTATTTAGGCCCCTGTATTAGGTTGGGTTTCAGGTGAGACATAGTCTCTTAGGAGGGTGTCGATGGCATGATGACAATGATTATAACTGAGAGCTGCTACTGCCTAAGGTTGAACCCATGGGAACCCTAGCATGGGCCCATAACCCTGGGTTCCTTACCCTAAACCCTAAACCCTAAACGCTAAACCCTAAACCCTGAACCCTAAACCCTAAACCCTAAACCCTAAACCTAAACCCTATATGTACCCTCGAGGGTCTCCAGAATGGCCTAGGGGTCCATAATAGGGGCCCATACTTCTAACCTTAGCTACTGCTCATATGAAGTGGTTGAGTGCGCAATATAGGTAACTATTTCGACATCTATAGCTTGAGTCTTACGTACTGTTGTTACTGTTACTGCTGCCCATGCTGACAGAATTGCGACACTTGTGAAAATCACGTATCTACAACTCATGAATACATATGACTGCTGGATGCGTTGCGCTCGTTAGGAATACGATTGCGATCGTGCTGTGATGAATGCTGATCCTAGCCGAATCGGTACTATGAAGCAAAGTGCTATGGTTGCCAAGATCCCTGTCAACATTTTGCCAGTAGTATCTTCATATGCAGCAATCAGTCCTGAGTTGGAACCCTAAAGCCCCCAACCCCGAACCTCCTAAACCCCTGAACCTGAAACCCTAAAGCCCCAAACCCCTAATCTCCTAAACCCTAAACCTGAAACCCCTAAACCCCTAAACCCTGAACCCTGAGCCCTAAACCCTAAACCCCGAGACCCCAAACCCTGAACCCCTGAACCCTCAAACCCCTAAACCCCAAAACCCTCAACTTAAAACCCTAAACCCCTAAACATACCCCTAAACCCTCGAAGCCCTAAACCCTCAAACCCCTAAACCCCTCAAACCCCTAACCCCTAACCCCTAAACCCCTAAACCCCAAACCCTAAACCCTAAACCCCTAAACACACCCTTAAACCCCCAAACCCTAAACCCCTAAACCCCAAAACCCTCAAAGCCCTAAACCCTAAACCCTAAACCCCAAAGCCCTAAACCCTAAACCCCTAAACCCCAAAAGCCTCCAAGCCCTAAACCCCTAAGGCCCAACAGCCTCACAGCCGTAAACCCCCCGAAACCCTTAAACCCTAAACCCCTAAACCCCTAAAAGCCCTAAACCCCAAAACCCCTAAACCCCAAAAGCCGCAAAGCCCCTAAACCCCCCAAGGCCTACACCCTAAACCCCTCAACTCAACCCACAAAGCCCCAAACCCCAAAAGCCTCAACCCGTCAACTCAACCCCAAAACCCTCAAAGCCCAAAGCCCCCAAACCCCAAAACCCTCAAAACCCTCAAAGCCCTAAACCCCAAAAGCCTCAAAGCCCCAAAACGGTTCCAAGGCCTTGCTCTCGATGGCTTCCCGGAGTTCCCGGAGCCCCCGGAGCAGCGCCAGGGCGGCTTCGGCCTTCAAGATCCTGTCCAAGGGCTTTAGGAGGGACCCTTAATAGGGACCTTTGTTAGGGTTTAGGGTTTAGGGTTTAGGGTTTAGTGTTTAGGGTTTAGGGTTTAGGGTTTAGGGTTTAGGGTTTAGGTTTAGGGTTCAGGGTTTAGGGTTCATATGGAGACTACCTGGCTATATAAGGGGGATATAAGGACTATACAATGGTTATTTAAGGTAATGGGATTAAGGGTCCCTATTAGGGTTCTCTCCTAAAGTCCTGAGATCCTGAAGGGACGAAGGGCTCCTTTAAGGGATGCTCTAAGGGCTCCTTTAGGGTTTAGGGTTTATAAAGGTTTAGGGTTTAGGGGTTAGGGTTTAGGGGTTTAGGGGTTTAGGGGGTTTGGGGTTTAGGGGTTTGGGGTTTAGGGGTTTGCGGGTTTAGGGCTTTGGGGGTTAGGGTTTAGGGTTTAAGGGGTTTGGCTTGCTCTGTGGGCTCCTTTCGGGTTTAGGGTTCAGGGGTAAAGGGATTAGGGTTTCTCTAGGGGCTCCTTTAAGGGTTCTTTTACGGGTTCGCTTGAGGGTTCCTGCACGGGCTCTTTGATTTTTGGCTCTACCTCAAATAATATTCGGGAAAAGAGGGTATCCTTTGTATCCTTTACATTTTTTACGGTGTTCGTATAGGGCTTTGGGCCTGGGCATGTTCGTGTGTTCTTTCGGATTTTGAACTTGGGATGTGGGTGGAGTCGGAGGCTTTGGGGGTTTAGGTTCGGGGTTTGTCTTGTCTTTTTCTCTATCTTTTCCTACCGAAACCTACTTTTTTGTAGGGTCCCTATAAATTCCATATTTGGGTTTATAATACGAACCTAAAAGCAGTGGGGTTTGGTAGTTTAAGGTAAGGCCAAGGGGTTCCATGTTCAGCGTTGATGAAGTATCACGTAGAGGACACACCACCTTTCGAGAGATTGGCTGGCTCAAGTCTGACCCTGAACCCGAAACCCCAAACCCGTATTGCTAATGTAGGTGCCTCAAAGACTGGAATAGGGTTTCGAGGTCCTTTATAGTAATAAGGAACCCCCCAAATAATGTAGGTAATTCTTGAGGCCACCGACCCCCCAAAGCAACTTAGGGTTTTAGGGATTAGGGTTTAGGGCTTACGGTTTAGGGTTTTAGGGTTTAGGGAAAGCAAAGCGAACGATTGATGAGATTTTTTACGATAAGCTGATATTAGCTACGGCTTCTCTTCATTTTGACCTTACTGCAAGTGCGACGACAACGATGACTGCGAGTTGGAGGCGGTGGCAACGTTTTCGGCTTATGTCGTTGATCTTGCTGCTGCTGCTACTGCTGGTGGTGCTGCTGCTGCGGCTAATGAAAACATCACTTGCACTTAGCTGCATATACTGACTGCATACTATTTACGACTTGCGACATATAGCCATGAAGACCCTAAATCCTAAACCCGAAAAGTGCAAAAACTCTTGGAGCTTAGGTCGTAGGCATCTCTGTTCAGGGCCACGAGCCACTGCAAACACTCAGGGTGTAGGGTTTAGGGGTTTAGGGTTGAGGGTCTCAAGGCCCTAACACTTAGAAGCAGGTGTTGGGGCATGCTATAGTAAAAACATACAGGGACAATAAGGGTATGTTACTAGATTAATTACTACTAGTTTTTTGGATTTCTTTATTACATTTATACCCCAAAACCCTTTTCTAATTATTAAGGCCCCCCATACAAGCTTTTTCGACCTGTATGTCATTTGCCAGGTGTCGAACTCAACAATCCCCAAAAGTTTATGGTTAGGGCTCCATACTAAAACAATCGGGGGATAACACTGATCTCAACTAAACCCTTAACCTTTAACCCCGTAACCTGAGCCCTAAATAAACTCCCAAAACCTGAACCCTGAACCCTAAACCCTAAACCCCAAACCCTACACTCTAAACCCTAAACCCTAAACCCTAAACCCTAAACCCTAGCCCTTAAACCCTACACCTAAACCTCAAGGCTCCTTTAGGGATCCCATCTAGAAGGGCTTGGGGTTTTCTAAGCCGATTGGGGAGTTGGGGGCTCCTGGGATCAAGGGAATTGGGTCCCTCCGGCCTCTGGCGCTCTGCGCCGCACTTGTTGGCCTCAAGCTGACAAGGCCGACAGTGGCAATAAAACACGTCACTAACCTCAGGATCTCATGACACGATAAAACGCTATGAAACAACGCAAATACCAGGAAAGGCAGAAGTGACGACGATAGCAGCGGGAATAACGACACGATGTTAAGTACTTCAAGGGTTCTGGCAGCAATCCGATCAACCCGGCATGACGGAGGCACCCTTCCAAAATCTTGAACAAAGGAATTGGATCCTATTGTTTCATTTCATGTCGTACTAGATCAGACTACATCAGACCGGGCCGAACCATATCCTAGCACTTTGGAATGCACTAGATCAAAGTACATTGCACTAATTACATTCTGTTATATTATATTACAAGATGCGATTTTGTATTATATCATATTGTACTGTGATATACTAGAATGTATTATATCAAACTGTATTATGATATACTAGAATGTTTTATATCGTATTGTTCTATGATATACTAGAATGCATTATATCATAAATTATATCATATACAATGTGCCTCTTCCAGTGCCGCGACCAGCTGCTCCTCGCCTTTGGTTACTTCTCCGAGGGGTGGATTCGTTTTCTGAAGGTTCAGATAGGTCGATCGATAGATAGATAGATAGATAGATGGTTAGATAGATAGAGGTAGGAAGATAGATCGATATAGGAAGATAGGTAGATAGATAGATTGATTGACGGATGTAGACATAGAGGCATTTCATGTAGATAGATAGATGGATAGATAGATATTTCGCTGGATAGTGAAATGGTTAGAGAGCTACATAGACAGATGCTTAGATTTAGATGTCGAAGTAGACAAAGACATAAATATAGGCATAGGCAGAGATAGATAGAGGTGAA